GGTTTAGACCAGTTTTTGAGCAGTTCAGTATTTACTGATCCGGTTCGAGTCCAGTACAATATTTTAGTTAATTTTTCAGTCCAGTCAGTCCAGTACACCAATATCAGTTTAGTCCGGTTTTTTTTGTCAGTCAAAGTTAAGTCCCGAGAATATTCCAGTTAAATATTTAGATCGAGTCGAGCGTCTTAATAGCTATTTTCAGTCAGTCTGAGCATAGTACTTAGTATTTGTTTATTTATATATTTTTCAGAGTGATCAGCAGCAGCACTTACATTAGCAGTTCAGGTGGGGACTCAGACTGGGTATTACATTGGTTATAATTGCTCTAACATGTTTTAAGGTATGTATATGAGTTATTCCACTCTGGGTGGAGGCGCAGTAGCCTTAATAGGCCATCCCGAGTTCCGGTGGAGGCGCAGTAGCCTTAATAGGCCATCGGAATGTGCACATGGACGGACATAGTATCCGAGGAGGTTCAGTTCAGTTACAGACCTTGTGTCTGGAGATTACAGTTTACTTATATATACCTGCAGTCATGATATTGATATTATTATTGATGTTTACTTTAGTATGAGTTTCTGCGGAGTACAGTGATTTTAGTACTCATGCTCCCACTATTATGATCCCTTTTCAGGTGACAGGGTCGGTCCGGAGGAGTGAGCGGAGCTGGTGGTCGCCGGTGCAGTATTTATGTAATTATGCTTTTGCAGACTTACTATATGTACATTATTCGCCATGTTTTTTTTTTACTTCCGCTGATGTTTTTCAGATTTTGAAACTAGCGTGTAAATTTTCAGACTACAATCCGAGTCTTCGGGTCAGACTTTATACAGTATCACACGCTTGTTTTATAAAAGACAATCCGTTTTCATAAATAAGTTTAAAATTAATAAAGTTAACAAATTTTCAAAAAGGAAATACTTTATGCAGCATCCCGAGATATGTTTCGCAAACATAAATGTAAATTTTAGAAAAGAAATTTGCGAAAATCGCACTCTGATTTTAGTAAGCTAGCGGGGTGTTACAAATTGGTATCAGAGCACATTTTTGTGTATCTGAATACTTTTAAGTCAGAAATTTTCAGAAAGACCCGACGACGCCACGCTCACGCCTCACCGACTATCAGGTAAGTGCTGAGTTACTGTTTATATATATTTAAACGAATACTTAAGTCTATGCTCAGTAGAGGGTACCAGATTATTGACCCTAGAAACCAGTAAGATGCTCGAGTATTTTCAGAACCTAGTCGATTGCCCCAGTTACTTGATAGTTTGACTTTAGTATTCTCAGGTTATTTAGCGACTCGTCAAGAAATTTGTGTACTTAAGTAGTCAGTCAGTTAATCTCTTATGTTATTAATCATGTTAAACATTTCAATGTTCAGATGCCTCCTCGTAGAGATCCAGAACATCAGGAACGCTCCCAGGCCACAGTAGTCGCACAGTTTCCCGACTACCAACCAGAAAAGTTTTCCGGCCAAGGAGATCCTCGTATAGTAGATGAATGGATTCAGGGCCTCGAGATGATTTTCGAGGTCATGGATTGCCCTGATCGTTACCATATGTTATGTGCTCAGATCCAGCTGACTGTTGATGCCCGACTCTGGTGGAATGCCTACTGGAGTATGCGTCCCGGCGAGAAAGACGGTTGTACGTGGGACCAATTCAAGGAGCTGATTCGAGAGAAGTACTATCCCTCGTATTACCGAGTAGACATGGAGCGCCAGTTTTTGGCACTCGTCCAGGGTACTCGTTCTGTTGACGAGTACGAAAGAGAGTTTACCCGTCTCGGAGCCTTTGTACCTGATCTTGTGGGTACGGAGGCGAAGAGAGCCCATCATTTCACCGACGAACTTCGCACAGCAGTCCGCCACAATATCGTAGGTCACGGCGTCCAGACCTACGCCCGCAAAGTTGCCATTGCACAAGAAGTCGATGCCAGTATCCGATGAGAAGCTGCCCAGACACCAGCCCAGCCAGTTGCCCAGCCACCAGCTCAGCCCAAAGTTGCCCAACCATCAACCAACAAGAATAAAAGGAAGTTCAAAGGGGGTCCAGACGATCGCAGGAACTGCCAAAGACGGAGGACAATACCAGAATGCCCAACATGCGGGAAACATCATCGTGGAGAATGTCTTGTGGGCCAGAACGTTTGTTTATTTTGCCACCAGCCAGGCCATATCAGCCCCAACTGTCCAGAACGACTGCAACAACAACCGCAACAACGTCAACCACCACAGCAACCTCAACAACAGCAAGCCAGACAGCAGCCACCACGACCCCAGCAACAACCACGCGGCAGACAGCAGGCCCGTGTCTTTGCAGTTGACCAGAGGGAGGTCGACCAGCACCCAGGTACCATGTCTGGGATGATTATTCTTAATGATGTGCCTGTCTATGCCTTATTTGATACTGGAGCGACCCATTCCTTTATATCACGTCGATGTCTTGAAGCTATTGGGGTTCGTTCCACTACCGTTGTCGATCCTCTCGAGGTGAGTTTAGCCTCAGGAAGAAAGATAGTGACTGACGCTAGAACCATCGATCTCAGCCTTTCCATCGGCGGCCGTATTCTGATTACCGATGCTTATGTTATCGAGATGAGGGATTTTGACCTCATACTCGGTATGGATTGGCTAACACGTTTTCACACAGATATCCGATGTCACGACCGGGAGATTACTCTTTATCTTCCGGGAGATGATCAGATCACTTATTACGGCTCCAGGACTCGTACTCTGCCACATGTTATTTCTATGGCGAAAGCCAGAAAGATTCTTCGACGGGGTGATTGCCAGGGTTACCTTGTGAGCCTCGTTGGAGATGAGCCAAAGACGCGTTCACCTCATGACATTCCTATCGTTCGTGAGTTCGTGGACGTGTTTCCAGACCAACTTCCTGGAGGTCCACCCAGTCGACAGGTGGAGTTTTCTATCGATCTTATCCCTGGATCCGGACCCATTTTGAAGGCACCGTACATAATGTCGCCTAAAGAATTACAAGAACTAAAGACCCAAATCCAAGAGTTGCTGAATCTCGGTTTTATACGACCGAGCGTTTCTCCTTGGGGAGCACCCGTTCTCTTTGTCAAGAAGAAGGACGGATCCATGCGTATGTGTATTGACTACCGGGATCTTAACCGGTTGACGATCAAGAATAAATATCCGCTTCCCAGGATCGTTGATTTATTTGATCAGTTGAGGGGTGCCTGCGTGTTTTCCAAGATTGATTTGCGTTCAGGCTACCATCAGCTGAAAATCAAGGAATCAGATATACCCAAGACAGCTTTTCGTACGAGATATGCTCACTTCGAGTTTGTGGTTATGCCGTTTGGCCTCAGTAATGCCCCGGCAGTATTCATGGACTTGATGAACCGTGCATTCCATCCTTTCATCGATCAGTTCATTATTGTCTTCATCGATGATATTCTTATTTATTCCAAGAGCCAGAAGGAGCATGAGGAGCACCTGAGGGCCGTTCTTTCGACCCTTAGATGCGAGAAGTTATATGCAAAGTTCTCCAAGTGCGAATTTTGGCTTCAGCGAGTGGCTTTTCTTGGCCGCATTATTACTTCAGCAGGTATTGAAGTTGATCCTTCAAAAATTGCTGCAGTTCAGAATTGGTCAGCACCGAAGAATCCGTCCGAGGTTTGTAGTTTCCTCGGCCTTGCAGGTTATTATCGCAGGTTTATTGAGGGGTTCTCGAAGATTGCCCTCCCTTTATCTCAGCTGACGAGGATGTTGGAACCGACGAGGATCTCGATATGCACAAATCACGGACAAACAATCAACATAAACCTATGCGCAGCGGATCTAAAGGTGTGATTAAGGAAACTTACTGCTTAAAATTTATGTAGATCTGGCTGACCCGGATAGATGACCGCAAATCAAATCTTCTCGGAATCGAACAAACTTGACCAATCCAGAAAGCTGACGTCACGACGAAGTCAACGGCATTGACCGATCGGAAAAAGGACCTTCCACGTGCTCTCACGCGCGCGCGTAATCCTCGGCAGCTGCTCCCTTCCGGCGGCGCATGGCGGCGCGTGCGGCGGCGGCTGGCGGCGATCTCGACGGCGATCTCTTCGTCTCGT